GCTACCATATGAGCTACCCTATTGTCACCCCGACCTACAAATCGCACAGTGAAGCCCGGATTTGTCCTGAAAACCTGTACCATATCTTCCAAAATAGCCCCTACTCGACTATCCCGCACATCAGCCCGACAGATTTTATCAATGACCACCTTGGCGTCCCCTTCAAACCGCATTGCCAAAAATCCCTGCTCTAAGCACCAAAGGACTACCTGGAGCCGCGGCAGGAGCGTCACGTGCAAGGTTTGTACTCTTTTGCTCCGCAGGAACTTGACCAGCAGCCCCGCCAGAGAGAATATCAGGGGAATCAGCCGCCGCCATCTCCTGCGTATGATACTGAGCAAGGCGACCCTAGTTGCTCCCCTCCTCCCATAGTCGTCGCTCAATGTGGAGCATGGGAATGTTAACCTTCCCTGTCGGCTGATTTTGCGCACGAGGAGGCCGAGCAGCTCGACCTAGCTGCATCTTCGGCGATCGCACAACATTGAACCCTCATGGGCTCCGGCGATGTTGTGTCCCTACAGGCGACGCACCAGGTGTCTTTCGCGACGGCATAGGCTGTTGACGAGTTTTAGCTTGGAAAGATGGCTCGTGTATCACCCCAATGAGAAGCGATCCACTCCCGTCAGCGCTATCTCTCTGCTCCCTGTACGATTTGTTTACCCAAACCGTGTTACCACCCCTAGGAAAAGGGAGGCTGGTGTCATTAGTGTCATAGATCCGGGTACCCAGCTTTCAAGTGGACATATGCGGTCCGAATTTTTCTTTTCGTGTTGGCGGGTCAAAAGTACAAGCACGCATCAGGTGGCCCACTCTACCACATTGATAACAGAAACTGGGTAGATACTCGTATTTTAGGCTAACCCAGAAGCAGTCGGTATCATCAGTGGTAGCCATAATGTGGGACCAAAGTGGTTGCGTAAAATCAATTAACGCCTTGACTTTCACGAACCAGCGCCCAATATCTTGACAGGCAAAAAGACTCGATTCTAGCACTTTGCCGATAGTGGAGTTCACCATTTTTCTCCCAACTTAATGTGTGCAGCACTCTTCTTTCACGTCCCACAATTGAACCCGAAATGGGACAACTGCAAGGTCATCAAAAATTTTCTTGGTGATCACCGGAGTCCACGGACGAAAGTGAATGATTTGATCATTGATGATCCATGGGGTACGCTTAAGCACCCAGATCCGAGCCTCTTCGCTGGGGAGCATGAACTCGACCAAACCATGCTTAGCCAAGACCACCCTGAGCCGTCATTGAATGAGCCAAGGCGTGAGAGCAGCCTCCCACAATTCCGTAGTGGAATTTCTATTAGAGGTGATGAAGCGCCCGAGCAATGAGTGGGAAGCACGATACTTCGTCGATTGGACCTCTTCCATTGAAAATTGCACCACCTGGTCCGAATTAACGTGCGCCATGTTTTGAACCTGCAAAAGAGGTTCCTTTGTATTAAATCCCAATCGGCCTTGGCCACAGCAAGCCCATGCATGCAACGTTTCCATGTCTAAGAGCTACGGTGGAATTCCCTGCCCTAGACCAACCCGATCTCCCACGTTTGAGCAGGGGGCCGACAAGCAGCTTAAAGGAACGAGGGAGGAGAGGAGAGATCATGATAGTAACTGCGTAAGATGGGCGTGTAGGTAAAAAAAAAATATGTAAGTGGTAGCATATGTAATTCAAATTTATGACTGTTGTTAACTACACATATTTTTCATAAGGCTACAAGTGTTTTGTTGTTCAATTTTAAAATTATCATTTATGGTACTGAAATGGTATGTAAGATGGAGTCCATACTTATCATGTTAGCGAGGCACAAAATCGGAAAAGGTAATCCCAATGTAAGCTATTTTGTACGAAAGAGCGTAACGCGATAAGACCACAATACTGCTTCATTCGCTAAATGTCATTGCCTGATACTAGCATTGTTTCAGCATCGGTCATGGTGCACGATTCCAACATGGTTTAGTGAGTTGTTATCAATTTGGATGGATATAACTGTAAAGACGTCACGACGAAAGCGACCTCTATTGTCACTAAATCTCGTCGTTGGTACTTTGATAATCTCCAAACTTTTGGTTTAGATAAGTTGTAACTGCAATGCGAACTTTTTTATTTCGAGCATGGGTGGCCTATAAAGGAGGTTAGTTAGATTTGTATTATATTTGACACAATGAATGTTATAGAGAGAGAGAGATCATTGGATAGATTATGAGGTTGAGCCACTCGAGTTGAATCAATGTATCTTTCGGTCGACATTCATACACACTTGTCATGATAGTCAAAACATGTGATGGTGCACATACAACTTGATGTACGATTTAGATGGTTAATTTAATCGGTTGACATTCCCCCTCCACAACCGGACTTCACCCCTGTGCGAAATGAAAAATTGGGAAAATGGGAGCACGGGGTCTCCTCCATTCCTCTACTTCCAATGCGCCCTCCCGCATTAACCGACGACCGTACGCTGCCGATTTCATTAGTGGTTCACCCTACCTGCCAACCTCAGCGGTCGCAGTGGTATCGCTCCGTTCTCTCCATGCTGTCTCGGCCGCGCCAACTAGCTGCACCGCCGCCTGTTTGTTTGGCGGCTCGTCCCGCAGAAAATCATCAGCAGTCACCGCCAGGATCCATTGCCACCAAGTCCATCCTCCTGTCGTCGAAGAGCACCCTCTCCCTTTCCCAGGTCTGAAGTCAAGAATGTAGTCCGTTTGGGAAGAAAATAGCACAAATTAAGGTTTGTTGAATTTAGGGATTTTTCCCAGTTCTGAATCTAGGGTAAAACTTGAAGAGTGCTTGTCGATTTGTTGGTCCTAAAGCAGGATCGGCAACCCAAATCTGACGAATTACGTTACCTAAGGCTGGAGTATCGGGGGTGCGTGGCATTTACCCCATCCTGTCACCGCGAGAGGGAGTCGAGTACTTGAAAGCCGTCTTCGAGTTCTCAAGGTTGGAGAAGGCACTCACCTGGGAAATGTTCTAATCGTAGCTGAGCTCAACCTGGGTCTTGTTCTCGACCCGTATCTGGTATTGAAGAACCTTGCTAGCCCCAACATAGTGTCTTACAACAGTCTGATTTCATATTTCCGCTTCCATCTATTTCATTTATTTGTCATTTTTGGCTTCAATCAGTCATGTTTTGTTCTTCTAGAGGCCTAACTGGGGTGTCTTTCGCCATTACTCCAGAATTCGTTCCGCCTAATTCCACCACCCGTTGGAGCATCGGAGCCTAACCAAGCAAGATGATACAGTGAGGAAATACAAAGCTGACAATGCGACTCATTTGTGACGGGGAAAATGGCTCCTCCTGTCTCAATCTGTCAAAATTGGTAAGGATTTGTTTTACGTGGATCATAAGGAAACCCTCGGTGCGCGCAGAGCTTTAGGGTTGTTGGAGAATCATCATGAAGCCTCGCGTTGGCGACAGGTTTCGTCTCGGTAAGATCGGCAGTGGATCGGTTGGAGACATCTATCTCGGTTCGATGCTTCTTCAGCCTTTTCAATTTTAATTTCATTTTCTTATAATTTTTCTTTAGCAATTTGTCTTGTTGATCTTCCTTTACAGGTACCAATGTTCAAACAAAACTCGAGCCAATCCTTGTCCATCATCTTCTCCAATTTCTTCCCTTTTCACAGGCTTCTCCTAGAAATTTTTTTTAAGCGGCAAGGAAGACCTGGTCATAGCGGTCGATGCCGGGAAGAAGATTCGACATTCAGCTGTGTAGTTGGATGAATCGAAATTGAAGACTGAAAGCTGAGTGCAAGGTAAATTCCATTAATTTTAATAAATTAGGGATTTTAGATGGAGGGATTAGGTCTGTGTGATGGGGTTTGCGGATATATTGCCTCATTTTGTCCGATTTTAGGGTTAAATTTCAACAGCTCTTGGCCCTTTCTTTTTTGGAAGAACATGCTTATTTTCTAGGGGAAAGATTCTTGAGGAAAGGTATTGATGGAGACTTTGAGTTCCGGTTTAGTGTAGATTCTTGAGGAAAGGACAAAAAGAGCATGCATCAGCGGGAAATCCAATTCACCTTTAACTACATCAACATATGTGTTAGCCACTTCAAGGGATTTCAGATTGTTCATTCAAATGAGGGAGGTTGACCAAACTTGACCAAACTTGATTCAAATGCTGCTGATGTCGTGTGAAGAATAGAGAAGTGATGAATTAATACTGTTTGAACAATTTTCATGGATGTTTTCGATTTTCGTATTTATTACTTTGCTTGGACGGGGAGTTTAACCTGGATGAAATTGCCATTTTCCACATTGAGATTTTAATTACATTTGATGAAATAAAGTGTCTGTGCATTTCTTCTTGAACCAAACCAAATTTTTTTGCCCCACATTCTTAGCTGGTGCCTTGTCAAGGTTGCTGCTTCATCACCTTTTCTGCCCCGTGTTTGTTTGAGACTGCTGCAGAGGCTGTAAATCATGTAGTTTTAGATGTAAGACACTGCCACACCATATCCTTGCCAAATTTGCATATAAAAAAACAAAGTGTGCAAGGGGGGATTGAACCCACTACCTTATGCATGTAAATATTCCTAATTATCAATTAAAGTCTTAAACCACTAGGCTGGTCACCTGCCATTTCTAAAGAAAGCAATCTCTTTTATTTTTATATAGACATGATCTTAATAAAATCGCATTCAATGTGATAGGAATCCTTCGGTTCTAGGAGTGCACAAGCTATGCATCCTTCTCAAAATCAGCTTACACTTTTTCATATGAATTCTTAATACGAAATCGTGACCAATAGAATGTGATATTCGCTACTCATATAGGATACATATATAAAAGCAATACCCAAGAGAACCTGTATAAATGACAATCTCTTTTTTGTTTTGTACCCGTATCATTAATAACAACTATCACCAAAGGTAAACCACTTCATTGTATTTGTACATGTATTTTTACTATTCTTTTGATCATTATTATTTATCATGTGTTTTACTTTTGCTTTGTGTGTTTATTCTACTTTTGTTGCTCCTCCTGGACCTCCACCTATCGCTCCCCCTTGTACCTGCAACAAACAATTAATTACTTGTAAATTAAAGTTTATCCATTATTAAAAGGCGGCCAAAATCCTTCCTTTTCCCCTCTAAAGGAAGACAAAGTGGGAACCAAATTAGCACATGATGCTGCTGTGAAAAAAGAGATATTTTTTTATCTTATTAAGTATGCGGAGGATTGATCCATTGGCTAACTGGTATTGAGGTTACCAGTGGTTGCTTTATTTCTGTACTTCAGCTACCTAGCTCACCACAATATAAGATAACTACTAATTGACGAATTCTGCACAGGTTTTTGCAGAAAGATGAAGCAAGTTATGAAGAAAATGTTCAAGAATTTAACAACTAGTACCTATGCAGCATGTTCTGCATAATGATGCAGCAAAGTCTGTAGAAAGGTTATACAAAGAGAATGGAAGCTAATCAGTAATCACACCCTCAACTTCTATCACTTTAGCAGGGACCCTTCAATTTAAGCTAAACATTCTGTCACGAAGTTTCATTGGCTCATCTCTACCACATATGTCGAAATTACTTCAGTAACAGTTGGCGGGAGATTGTGAAACCTGCAACAACATATGAAAAATGGTATGTTGTGGCATGAGTATTTGGATTCCAGAATCATGTATTAAATTTCAGTGCATACTTACTTCAAGCATTGTCATCGTCCTCCTCCTCATCATCATCGTCCTCATCCTCGTCCTCATCCTAATAGTCATCCTCGTCCACTTTCTCGTCTTCGTCGTCCTCCTCGGCCTCATTATCAAGCTCGTCCGCATCCTCTTCCTCAACCTTTGTTGTTCTCTTGTTTCTAACTTGGTCACTCGAACTGTTCGTCGATTTTTTTGGAGGATTTTTACAAGTTGAGGCATAATGACCAAAAACACCACACTTGCCACATTGTCTCGCTTTGACGACCTTCCCCTTCTTGTTCTTAGTCAGCCGACCACCTTTAAATCGTGTTTGTACCGGATCTTTAACATCTTTATAACGTTCAGATGCATCACCTTGAGCATCCCCATTAGGCTCTGAGGAAGCACCTTCATTAAGAGTACTCATTCCCTTCAATTTCGCACACAATGCTTAAATCTCTTCACAAGCAACTTTGAATATACTTGGAGATTCGTTAGCTAAGGATGTCAATTGTAAGTTGTGGTACTATATAATGCCATATCTCCATATGCGTTCTTCTTCCTCTGATGGAGTGTCATTTCTTTGAAGTTTTTCCAAAGTACCTTTTGGGTCTTTTCTCCACCTCGGCAAAACCAACTCCGAAGGCAACTCTGACTCGCTACTCCCGTAATATAAAAATCATGTGTGCGCAGAGCATACCGGTACTACGAAACTTGTAACAGCTGCACTCCATTTCTGATGTGGTTGGTTGATATGTAACTTATATGACAAACTCAAAGTCTTCATACATTGTCATCTCATAGACACGGTGAGAAGATCTTTCAAAAGATCTCTTCATAATGCATCCATTAGATGCTTCGAGCTGTTCCCGAAATGTAAAAAATGCCTCCCTTGAGTAAACACTAGCACCACTTATTTCGAGAGATCTCAAACCTGTGTTTCTTAGCTCAGGAGTTCCATAGTTGGACTTGAAGTCTGCTTTCACCTCATTCTCTCTGAAATGCCGCAATGCACGATCAAAATCACTCACAAAATCCAGTAGATTATGCTGGCAACTAACGTACTTCTTAATGAATGAATTGACCCCTTCACAGCGAGATGTCGTCCGGACGTTAGCAAAAAACTTATCTCTCAGGTATGCAGTTGCCCACTCTCGCCGTTTCTCATAAGTGTTTCCAATCCAGATATTGTCCTCAAGTGAAAACTTGGTGATCATTGACCTCCACCTCTCTTCAAACTCCTTAATCCCACAATCAGCAAACATGCAATCCTTGAACGAGAAAAGAAACTTCTTGTCCTTCACATGGTCCTTTGCATTACCAAATAGATGCCATGAGCACAAACGATGGGTTGCATCTGGAAAAACCTTACTAACAACATTCGCCATTGCTTTATCTCCATCTGTGACAACGACATTAGGCTTCTTACCCATTGCTTCCACAAAGGCTTCTAACACCCAATTATAAGATTCTTCATTTTCATTGTTCAAGAGGGCACATGCAAACACACATGTGTTGTTGTGATGATTTACACCTAAAAAAAATGTAATGTCAAATTAAAGTCAGCACAATAAATTTAGTAACGAATTAATTAGATTACCGAACTTTTTACAATATTGAACAAACATATGCAGATTGAAATTAAAGCATCACAATATTTCAAAAAACAAAGAAACTTGTAATTCCAATAATATACTTGAGAATATCACTAGAGGCATATTGTACGCATTATTTTTGTATGTAGTGTCAAACAATAACACATCACCGAAGCATCCAAAGTCCAGCCTGCTTATGCTATCCGCCCAAAATAACTTCTCCAGTCTCGAGTCATCACCAACTTTGAACTTCATAAAAAACCCATTGTCATTGTAGCTTTTACAACTCAAGTAACTTAGTGCAGCTATAGCATCACCGTTGCTTATGTTTTCTTTTCGGCACCTATCGACATAGTTATATACATCTTGCCTCGTATATCCCACATTAGCATAGCCACCAGCTGCATTGGACACAACATTCATGATTTGACAGGGCCTCAAACCGCCAGATTACAAACTTGAGACAAGTGATGCATCTGCTTTAGTCAACACACGGTGTGATCTAAGGTGATGAACTTGATGGTAGGGAGCTAATTGATGACTATGCTCATTTCTAAATCGAGTAACATGCCATCTCATGTCCTTCTTCTTCAACAAAGTGATAAGCATATAAGCTTCACAACCAAACCTCGTTACTACCCTTGGTTCTACTTTTCTGTCTGTAGTTTTCTTTATTCTGAAACCTGCACCAGAACAAACCCACTTACGCAACACGATTTCCTTCTTTGTATCATACCGAATATTACTCTTTCTAATTCCAAACCCAATTTCTCTGGAAAATCTCCTATAGAAAGCTTCACCATCCTGCAAACTACCAAAAGTCATTTTGTAGACATCAGTAGCCTTCAACTTCGATAATTTTTCCCATTCTTCTTCCTCAACATGAATAGATTGTTGGGTTTCTTCTTCATCCACATCGTCAACATGAATAGATTGTTTCTGTCTCTTCTTCTTCCCCATTCTCATTTGTCACAGATTTTGCGGTTCCTTCTCCCTCTTCATTCACACGACCATGTTCAACTTCTACTCCTTTTTCAATTCCAGTAAAGGTTTCCTCCACATTTGGCCCTACCCTAAGGTCATTCCTGTAAAAATGAAATAAAAATGGCTATTAAAGTGAGTCGATCTGTTGATAATATAAAATCACATTTACGAATGACTAACCTGTCCCTTGTCGGTGCAGTACTGCTAGTGGGTTCCATCTTCCACTTTCAACTTGCTTTGTTTTTTCCTCAAAAGCCAATTTGGTTTCAATGTTGTAGTTAAGAGAAAAGCTACATCAAAACTATGTACAGTAAAGACAGAACCTTTATGTGTTATAGGTAGGACAAACGACAGAAAAGGAAAATGTGCATCTCTTTTTTTAATTTTGTGCAAAGGGTGCTATAATATTGATAATGCAGAAAATAACAAGAAATTTGTTTTGGAATAGCTCGACCGAAAAGGAAAAGGAAGAGACAGTACCATATATCAACAAAGCCCCATGCTCAAAATCAGAGGGAAACCAAGAAAAAAATTCAGGAGCAGTTCACACACACCGGAAGCAAAAACGCAAGGTGCGTTTCTTACCTTTAAGGACTCCCGATCCCGGATACGTGAAGAAGCAACAAGTCGGAACTGAATTGGAATGCCAGGTGAGATTCAATCCCAATTCTACCGAATTGTGGACGGCAAACACACTCGATCAATCGCGGAAGTGGTGGTGTCGGCTACTGGGTCATTCCAGTTAAACTAAAGTTGGTCAGGACACAAGATTGAGATTGCCAAAAACCTAGAATTGATTGCCAACAGCGGGAAATAACCGGAACCAACTTTAGTTTAACTAATTGACCCAGTCGCTGCAACGGAATTGAGGATAGGAGATTTACGACTTTGTTTTCATTAAGTTTTATGTATTATACAAAGCAAAAACGCTGCGTTTGAAACCTTCTCCTTTGCACCAACTGATTGCTACCCTGTTCGCGGCAAAGCCGCACAGGGGAATAACTCCACCACAGCCGAACGTTGGCTTGCACTCCGACTCCAGCTTCTAGACAGTTGGTACACGTTGGTTCCCGGGAAAGCCGAATAAAACAAACGGGCCGGGCTTCTCGGAGTCGCTGAGTCAGAGTCGGACGGAGATTGAGAATCGCCGGGGAAACAAGTACTCGATCGATCCTTACTCTGCTCCATTCCATCAAAGGTCGATTTTGCTTTACGGAGAGTCTGGCACCTCTCACCCTACTCTGAATCCAGATCCCAACATATCCCCAACTTCTCCCTCCATCGGTACCACCCCATCTGCTGCTTTCCCCCAACTCCCACTACCGGCGGCACCCCTTTCGTTCCAATCCCCTTTAGTCGCCTCCAAGCCGTTCAACATCCTTCGCTCGTCGATCCGATCCATGGCCTGCAACCCCTACAAAATAAAAACAAAGGAGTAATTCAATTCAATAAACAGGACCTTCCTCCCTTGATCGGTGGCTTCACCAGATTTGATTAGTAGGAGGAGGGATTTCGCCCTCCCGTCTCCAGATTCCGCCTCTTGAATCCCCCTACTCGACTATCAGCCTTGAGCACTTCTCTCCAAACTTCGATACAAAGCCAGTTGGGTTTGTCGTCTCCACCCAGAATCTAGATCTGCGCCGTTGGTTTTGTCCTCCTCGAAAGATGCTTTGTTGCTCGCTGGTGGCCGATGGTTTGATTGAAGGGGCAGGTTGGGGAAACGTTGGATTGGATTGAAGGGGAGTTAGGGTCGGATGTGGGGTCAAGGTCGGAGATGGATCTTCCTTTCACGATCACAACTCTTCCCCCACCACCATCGCCAGCTCGCCCGTCTCCGGACCTATTTCTGTGGCTAATCCTTCTGGCAACTTCCCCGTCGGATTCGACTGAGTCTTCGTCGTCGTTCCTCCTTGCATGCCGCCAATTCCATGTTTCTCTCCTCCAAGCTCCGCCGCAGCTCACCAGATCTGACGATTCCATGATTCAATCAATCAATGCAAGGCTGGCATGGATGTAGACGAGGGTTGGATAGATCGGGATGGAGACATCGGCGGCGGTACACTCACATTCAGCGGCCGCACAATTCTTCAGATGGGAAGAAACTGAGAATTGAAGCAATGAAAAATAGTTGCCTCCGGTTGTTCTATTAATTTCACGGAGGCTTCAGTATAAGTAATTGGCCGGAGGAACGGATTCTCTCTTTTGCTATGAGGGATTAAATTAAGTGGTCTCTGTTGGGTGGGAGGAACAAGAGGGTTCGCAGAAGAGGAGAGAAGAACCGGGGAAGAAGCAGGTATAATGACGGGGGCCTAGTTGCAATTATCATTAAGTATAAAGTGTTTTAATAAATATAATATAGTTGATTAGTTAATAATTAATTATAAACAAATTAAATTATTGTAACCGTCAGATGTGTTCAACGATTGAGATTAAACAAAAAAGTGGGTGTGTTCAGTGCACCCAAAAAAGTGAGTGCACCGAAGTAATCACCACATATATATATGGCAAAGGCTAGCATACGTCAGTCGTACACTATACGCCTGTGTTCACACTTGGTTTTTGCACTTCAATATATTTCGCTGAATCAGAACCGTCGGTTTTTATTTTTTAGATTAAATGAATCTCGTGGCTTGGGTTAGAGAATTAAGGACTGGGGTTTATCCATTAGAGGTTAGGGTATAGTATCATGCCCAAAATTTTGGTTAATTCCTGCTCTAAATAGTAAAACTCCACGAGCGATACAATGCATGACTGAGGTACACTATATATATACCTTTTGTTGATTGTATGTGTCGATCACAAATTTGACAGCCCTCTCAACTTTCTTGTCAAAATTTCGATTTTTCGTATGATAATGTTCTCGACGGTAGATGTAACCATACTCTGATGACGGAGGGCAATCGACATCGAAACCATGTGCTTATTTAATGACAGCGGATTCAAAAATAAAGTAATTAAAAAAACAACAATACGAAACCCTAATATAAAAAATTGGATTTAAAATTATGATCAGTTTTGAGTAGCTTACACCGGTGACCTCGCATTTCCTCCGGTAATGAATGACCCATAGCATTAGTTCTTCGTCGCCCCCGAAATCTTCGTCCTGCCATATGTAATCGTTCTCGTCGGGCTTGGGTTTCAGTTTATCAAGTTCCCGGCAGCGTTTGCAGCGGCCAATACCGTACTGGAGCTTCGACCAATCAGGCTTCTTCTTATTCCACGGGAGATTTGCGGCGGCGGAAGCCATGGGGATCGACAACCGGCGCGGCGGCTGATGAAAGAATTGTATTACCGTGGAAAAAGTAAAACAAATCTGCGAGTGTTAATTGAACAGGCTCGTAAAGGTGGGATCGCGGAGCCTATATGGTAGGGAGTGGTTGGGCTTTTGTTTTCCGTAGCCCATTTATTGGAAGATAAACCTGAACGGGCCCAAGAAATTAGCAAGCAATAAGGGTACCGTTCACTGTCTGACTTTATGTTCACGTAAAAACAGAACTATTTTAGGGTTAATGAATAAATATTGTCTTTTTTAAAATTCACTACTAATATGGCATTTTTAAAATATTGTGTATTTGTGTAGTGTTAAAAGCGGGACAGCCCAAGACAGAAGTGGTGGCGCATTTTGAATTTTTTTCACATTGTAAAGCGGGCCCACCCGAGTTAAAGACGGTAGCGCCTGAGACTCAAGCGTCCTCGCTCCCCACCTTCTGATAACTTCGTATTTGCACACGTTTTCATCCTTGTGTCCTGACCATTTTGGTTCGAATTTGTGGTTTCTTTGCCTATTTTACGCTAGGTTGGTTATTTTGTCATATTTCAAGTCCTAGCGAGTAGAGGGAGGCATAGGCGGAAGTTTTGGGTCATTTGGAGGTCATTTGGCGATTCAAGGTGCAAAATACGGGTGTCCCCTGCACAAATACGGTCGTAATTTCCCTTGCCCCTGACTGTCAACAGCATGCCGAGCCAAACCCTTGAAGATGTCTGTCGAAGTGCAAAATACGGGCAAGCACCAACGTAAATACGGTCGTAATTGCTCTATTATTGACAGTATTTCGAGAAGAGCGACCGTATTTCCTCTTCATCAGCGATAAGTGAAACACGTGTTTTGGGCAAAATACGGGCATGCTATAATTACGACCGTATTTCTGCCCGTATTTCGCCCAGAATCGGGGTTTTGAGGCAGATTCGAGCCAAAGGAAAGGGAGGCGACTTTTTGAGCAGAAAACAGAGTTCTAGAGAGAGAAAGTGAGAAGAACAAACCCTATGAGCTATTTGGATTTGATTTCTCACCATTGAAGCCAGATTGCATCCCCAGGAGTGAAGATTGACATCCCAGAGCAGATTATTCTCATCTTTATGAGTATGACTGCTTTGATTTCTGTTTATTGCCTCAATGTTCTCTCCCGGTGAAGACTAGTCGTCTGCCGGGTAGTCTGTCTGAGAGGGCTTGGTCAGCTTAAGAGATTCCAAGCTACTATAGGACCTTCCGCAGTTTAATAAACAGTAAATCAACCAAAGGTAATTACAACTTTGATCTAACTAAGGAGCTAGGGGGACTCATTCCCGAGTGACTCTTCCCTTTCTTAAGAACTTCGAACCATTTCCTCCTTTCTTAATGCTTTAGCTTAAAATCACATTCACTCAACTTAGTCTCGCTAGATAATAGATAATCACGGAGTAGGCAGTAGATCTAGACTCTGGGTTGATAAATTGAACTTGCCACTATTCTGCATTTCCGGATTGCGATTGCACTCGGTCGTAGTTTGGTATTGTGTTTTAGCGTGTCAAGTTTTTGGCGCCGTTGCCAGGGACTTCTAGCTTATTGTGGAAACGTGAAAGTTTGTTACTCTAGATTTTTCTTTACTGCATTATCTCTCTTTCACCTTTGTGCCTTCACGGGTTGTGTTTGCATTCTGTGTGCAGGTAGTGCATGACCCGTAGCTAGTCAGGAGACTTACTGTCGTTAGACCAAGAGGTTGAACGGACTTGTAGGAACTTCAAGCGAGCTTTAAAGGCGCGACCGACTGCGGAGGAGGCTCTAGCACAGCTGCAGATCAACCAGGAGAAAGACATGGGTGAGCCTCAAAACAATGATGTGGTTGTCCCCGATGAGCACATCATGGGATATTATTGGACCGCCAGAGTCGCGGCCATGAGGTCGCCCATCCAAAACTCTCAAATTCCAGCCAATAACTTTGAAGTGAGCACCTATGTCATCACCATGCTGCGTGGCTCGGTGGTATTCCGTGGAAAGGAGGGGGAGTGTCCCAGATCGCATCTGCAATGATTCCACGAGCTCATCGATGGGATTAAGATAAATGGAGTCCTAGCCAATGCCATCCAGCTCAGATACTTCCCATTTACTCTGGAAGGGGAAGCCAAGGAGTGGCTGGACACTCAGCCTCCAAGATCGATCACCACGTTCGCCAACCTGGCGGACAAGTTCGTCATCCGCTACCATCCTCCATCCAAGACAGCGGACCTGCAGAAGCAGATCACCCACTTTGTCCAGGAGGAAGATGAAACCATTTGGGATGCTTGGGAAAGATACACTAGTCTTTTCCTGAAGTGTCCCAATCATGGTTTCAACGACGCCTTCAAGGTGGGCACCTTCTACCACACCCTCTTCCCAGAAGACAAGCAGCTGATTGACTCGGTTTGAGGCGGGAACATGCTAACCAAGACCCCGCCGCAGCTAGATCGACTCTTTGAAGAGATAGCATAGCAGGGATATGATTGGGGAACTTCCAGGAGACCGAGACGAGCACCAGGTCGGGGTGTGCATGTTGTAGCCACCCAGTCGTCTGAGTTGGTGCAGGTGGTATCTAAGCCGGTCTCACCCATTGATCTTTCTGGAATGGTTTCAGGGACATGACAGAAGCAGGAAATACATTGCCAGTGGTGCGAAAGCTCCCATTACACTGTAGAAGACTGTCAGGCGATGAGAGAGTCGACTACCCCCCAGGAGCAGTTGGACTTCATCGGCAATGCCAGGCGTTTCGACCCCTACAACAACACTTATAACGAGGGGTGGCGCCATCATTCCAACTTCTCCTGGAGTGGACCTAATCCTCGGCCACCAGTCTCACAAGGACAGCCAGGCTTTCAGAGGCCTCCTTACCAGCCAAGATAAGGGCAATTCCAGCAACAACAGTAGCCTCTCTATCCGGCCAGACAGGGACCAACTCCTCCTCAGTCACAAATGAGGCCATTTTCAGCAGCCAGGTGCAGCCCCCACAGTCCCAGTACAGAGCGATCCTATGGCTGATTTGCGACATCTGGTGGGTTCTCTGGCCACCTCCAGTGCGAATAAGTTCAGCAACATCGAGCAGTTCATGGAGAAAGCCTCAGGTAAATTCTTGGAGCTAGAAGCTGGCCAGAGAAACACGCAGACTGTACTGCGGGATATCCAAACCCAGCTCGGGAGTGTGGCCCAGGCTGTAGCACAGAGGGCTCTGGGTACTTTACCCGGGCAGACCATTCCCCATCCGCAGGACCCAAATGAACATTGCCAGGCCATTACTACCAGGAGTGGCAAAGTGACTGCGGATCCACCTGTCCAGGCACGACAGGAGAGAGAGAGACCCCTATTTCAGCACTTACAGCTAATAAAGAAGAAATGGAGAAGGAGGTTGAGGTGCCTACTCCTAAGCCGCAACCAATGGTGAAGGAGTATGTCCCTCAGCTCCCCTTTCCTACTCGGTTGCACAAAGACCGACTGGAGACTGAGTTTGTCAAGTTCATGGAAATACTGAAGCAGGTGAACATCAGTACCCCCTTCGTGGAGGCATTGTCAAAGATGCCCAAGTATGCTAAGTTCATGAAAGATCTCCTCACCAACAAGAGGAAGCTTGAGGAGTTGTCGACGGTGATGCTCAACGAGAAGTGTTCTGCCATCCTGCAGAACAAGCTACCAGAGAAGCGCAAAGACCCAGGGAATTTCACTATCCCTTGCATGAATTGGTAGTTTGCATGTAGGAAAGTCTTTGGCGGATTTAGGCGCTAGCATAAACGTAATGCCATATAAACTGTTTAAAAAGCTAGGCCTAGGTGAACCTAGTAATACTAGGATGAGCATTCAACTTGTTGATAGATCCATTGTGCATCCTAGGGGCATTGCATAGGACTTGATAGTCACAGTGGAGCCGTTCTCATATCCTATTGATTTTTTTATTCTTGATATAAATGAGGATGTGGCTGTGCCTTTAATACTGGGTAGATCTTTTCTCGCCACCGCCAAGGCGCTTATTGATGTGAATGATGGGAAGTTAATTTTGAGGGCTGGGGGTGAACAAATCACCTTCTCCGTTTCTGATAATATGAAACACCCACAGCTCCATGATGATATAGACTACTGCGATGTTATTGTTGATTTTGAGACCGCATTCGCCATCACGAGTGCGGGTACTGACTATTTCCTCGAGTGCTGTCTTTTGCTAGGGGAACAAGCATCGTAGGAGTTGCAGCTGGAGGAGCAGCTCGCGAAGCTAGACGAAACCGCGATCGAGGGGCGAGAGAAACCATTCAAGCCGATCCCCATCTCGCCCCGGATCGCCACACCATTGAAGGAGCCACCAGATGTGGAGCTTAAACCCCTCCCCTCTAACCTAGAGTATGCATTTCTCCGAGAGGGGAATAAGCTCCGGTCATTATCATCTCGGATTTGACACCCGAGCAGAAGAGCAGACTGGTGGCTCTGCTGAAGAAGTATGCCCGGGCCATGGTATTCCACCGCTGCATTATCACCTTGGTAGAGAGCGTGGCCCCTTGGTATTCTGACTTTTCCAATTATCTGGTGGGCAAGCAGCTACCGAAGGGGATGACCACTCATGCAAAGTGCAAGGTCTTCTCCGACCTGAAGCATTATTTCTGGGAGGATCCTTACCTCTTCAGGATCAGAGCAGATGGCGTGATCCACCGCTGCATCATGGATCACGAGATGGGAGGCATCCTGTCTCAATGCCACGAGGGACCTACGGGCAGTCACCATAGAGGGAACTGCACGTCGCGGAAGGTGCTACAGTCGGGCTTCAACTGACCCTCAATCTTCAAGGATGCTGACACTTTCGCACGATAGTGCAACCGCTACCAGAGGTCAGGTAACATTTCTTCCCGGGTTGATATTCACCAATATATATATATCTGTCGTTTGTGAAATTTTTTATGTTTGGGGCATTGATTTTATGGGCCCATTCCCTCCATCTTTTAGCAATTTGTACATATTGGTTGTGGTAGACTACGTCTCGAGGTG